AAAAAAAAAAGATTGGGAAGGGGGTAAAAGGGTAGCAAAAGTGTAAAAAAGGAGGTGGAAAGGGGACACATTTTGCAAAAGGAGGTACCTTTTTCTGTAAAAATGGTTTTTAAAAGGCCCGGGGGCGCGCCCCCCCCCATAATTTTTTTTTAAGTCCCCCCCCCCCCCCCCACCTACCAGGGTCCATGTACAAGTCTAACATCTAAAACTATTGGGGGGTGCTAACTCTAAAATTTAATTTGATATAATTTAATAATAATGATCAATCCAAAGGTATAATTCTGGACGGGCTATAAAAATTCTTTTGCCAGGTTCTTGTAGTCTGCAAGCACAAATAACTTTAAAATAAACTAACCAAAAATTCTGAGGTACATTTTTATAGTACTCGACTTAAACCTCATGTCCTTTTAAAAAGCAACACATCTCAGCAATAGTATATATAACTATATTAAATAATGCCTACACTAGAAAATTTAGAGAAGTTCAACTTCCATTTATTTAAACCAACCTAACTGACTGTCAGTAGATTTAAATAATTGATGATGCATGATGCCAAGCACCTAACACAATTGCTAGAGGAAAGATAAGATGATAATAGTGACATACTGCCATCCAGATTTATTGTTGTAAATCAATTTATCCGTGACCCCCCTAGAGAGAGGAGTTATTATAACCACCAGGGCCTGGTTCCTGAAAGGGTGATTAGCATTAATCAAGGATTAAAATTTTGTTCCATTTTTGTATTTTACGTTACTATGCATTGCTTAGGGTAACACTACTGTATCTCGTAGTGAAGGCTCAACAGTATTTTGAAGCCTTGAGTTGCATGTTCTTAGATGAGAAAACCTTGCTTGAAATTTGGCTTAATCCTGGATTAAACTTAACCATCTTCGTGGAACCCGGCCCAGGAATTCCTGGAAAGTTCTATAATAAATAACTGTTTAAATGCCTCTGTGGCCACATCTAGAGGTGAGTCAAGATTTTGACTGGGAGGGGGAGAGTGGGATGCATCCCAGGGGTAGAAAGGAAAAAATGTCCCCCAGACGAGAAGTTGCAGACATCTAATGTTCCCTATTCCACCCCACCCCTGGATATCCCTTTTACAACTCTGGTATTATTAACAACACAGAAAATAACATAAGAGTGATTTGGCAGGATTGTAGCTTATAAAACATGACCAAAAGAATTAACACCTCCATCAAGGTGAAAAAGACTGCATGTGTTGACCTTAAGAACTGA